GTGCAGAGCCATGTGTTACAAGTACCCTTGACTGCATACACACTCTGGTTTTGGTGCCAGCAGAAACCAGTCTTAATTGTGTCTTCTGGAAAACATGCAAAACAGTTCAGTGAGAATCTGAAACATCTTTTCTTCTATTGAAAGTGAGAATGAATGCGCAGAGGTAGTAAAAGGGATAATTTCCTGTCTTCGTATCCCTACTGGGTAGTTATTTGCAGACATAGGCACCCCCCCGCCCCCGGTCAATGAGCAATGCGAATGTCTGTATCCAGGTTGCGTTCGATAAAGAATAAGCTGTGTCGGAGGCAAATCTGCCATGTCCTGGGCAGCCTGGTTTAAAGGTCTGTTACAGATCCTGGAGTGTAACTGGTCCAACTCCGTTACAGTCTCCTTGCCTGTTCTGCCTACCAGCTAAACCTTAATATAGGTTGCTTCTCCTGCCAGGATACTCTTCATCGTGAAAGTAGGGTGGCTTCAGCAGCTATTGGCCTCTTCATTAATCAACATACGTTCCACAGAGCGGCAGTGTGTGGGAGGCTATTTCTGGGGGAAATGTACCCAGAGGACAAGGTTTGCCCTGTATTGCTTTAGTGAATAGGCCTCCAGGACCCTTTCAAGCCATCTGCCCCTGAATTGGTCATGCTTTAAGAGGTAATGACCCAAGAAGAGAGTAGTTGCAAAGAATCCAGGAGCCTAGAGCTCCTAGATACTATTACAGAGCAGAAATAAGGGCAAAATATAAATTTGGCTAGCATTGGAGAGGGATACACACTGACTCCTGATGACAGAAGCTACTTTGGAAAGAAAGAGTGGGTTCCTAGCAAGCAATGAATGTGCAAGTCACTCCGGTGCAAAAGGCAGGACACGGCTCTTGGGTGTCCCCAGAAGGTGGAGCGTTCCCTGCTGATCTTTCCTGTGCTGAGCTGCTCTTCTGGCCATTTCAGCCAGCCACCGCGGAGGCAATCGATTGCCCCGCCACAATAATCCCAGCTCCTCTTCTCCCTGCCCCCTGCCTCAGCTGGTCTGGAGCAATGCAGATCCCTCGCCTGTCAGCACAGATCAGGACCATCTCATGGCATATTTTCCTCTTTGTGCTTTGGTAATAAGGGGCTGCTGCTCTGGATTTGGCTTTCTGTTAGTTTGCTTTAGTAACCACTGCTGGTGTCTCCACAAAAAGACTCTGAGCAGGGAGCTGCTTTCCCTAACGTGATCCTAGTGTTCCCGACCCTGCCGCTGCCCCTTCTCTGGGGAGATGCTAATCTTGCAACGTTTTACTTTCTGTGTTTTTGTCCATATGTGGCAATTGTGTGTCTGATCACCACACTCTCGCACAGTTATGGTACCCCAGGGAAAAGCAGCCAAAAAAACATATGGGGCTAGAGAAAAGGGTGTGCTTCACTGCACACGGGCGTAATTCAGAGACAACAGACACTTTGGTGTTTTGCAGAAAAGATGTGCACTCTCTGAAATTTTCTGGAAATGAAATCAAGGCAGTGATTTTCTTCTCCTTAACCAATGCTGCTGCAATACAGAAATTATTCTAAGATTCGTGATTCAATTGGTAAGACCTTAATAATCATTTATGCCATTGACAAATCCAGATTGCTCATTCACTCGTAAGGACTACTTCAAACTATCAGAAAAAAAAACTCTTACTTTTTTCTGTTGATAATGTTGCTTTCCTTAGCAAGTGTGCACACAGGCATGTATACCTGAACATGTACAGACACTGGGGTGAGGAGTTACAGGCTGAAGTGCTCCTCCTGGCCATGCCTGGTCTAGCCCTAGCCCTAGCCATAGAAGCCTGCATCCATTCCCACCTCTCTCCATGGGAACTTCTCCAGTGACTTGAAACAAGCAATTTTCTGCTCCCGTCCTCTTCGTATATCCAGGCCTCCCCATATACACACACACAGATTTATTCCAGCCTCTTGTAGCCTTAGCAACTGCTGCCGCTTAAGGTTTTACGCTGAGAGAAAGGTAATGAGTAGGGGAACATGCCAGGGGATGGAAAGGAATATCCAAAAGTGGGGGAGAAGGCAGATACTAAATTTTATCTGAAATGGCTTGCAGCAGGCTCAATCCCAGCTAGCGGTATTTATTACTGTAAAACAGACCTTAGTTTGCAAAAGGCTCTTCTTGGGCCCAGGCTTTTCCTCATCCTCCCAATCCCAGGCTTAAAAAATGGACATTATCTGGAAGGCGGGGCCTGAAGCCATGGCATCCCGAGATGCACACTTCCTCCTGGAGCTACGCAGAGGGGATGTACAAGAGAAAGAAACAGGCCCAGGAACCAAAGCATGATGGAAAATTCACGCAGTGAGTTTGTAAAACCCATCATAAAAGGACCGTTAAAGGTCAGTCTGCTTTATCCTGCTCTCAGGTTCGAGCCTGCGCAGTCCTGTCAGTTCTGACTGAGGCTGTCGCCGGAGCCGCTGAGAGAGGGAGGGAGCCACCGGGACCTGGACACGGCGGCGGGTGCACAGAGAGCTCAGCTGTGGCTGGGACTAGATTTGGAAAACCTAACGCTCAAAAGCAGTTTAGGCAACTATGAGCAAGTAAAAAAAAAAAAAGAGTTTGAGAGGTATGCCTTCACCAAACTTGCCAGTAGCTAACTGTGTGTTATGTATGTGTATACATAAGACAAAGGTGTATGTTCATGTGATGTTTGTGACTGGGAAAACACATAGTCAAGTTGTGTGGTGAATACCTTTTCAAAAACAACTACAGCAAGTCTTCCAGGGAAAAAATACAGAATTGTTGATGACATTAACGATTGCAGCAAACTTTACTGTGTGAAATAGTCATTTAATATGTCATTAATAGTCATTTATTATTCCAGCACCGCTCAGCAGAGAGATGCTGCAATGTGTGTTCAGCTATCACCATCGTGGACCTTGCAGTATCATACTATGTGATTATGCAATACAATTACATGTTTTGAGGCTATCATGAAACAGCTATCTTACGGCTGCGTAAAAAAATCGTAGTGCCAGCCTATCAGAGTCTCTCAGAGTATAAAATAACAAATTACAAAAAATAATGGCCTTTCGTAAGTATCGTGAGCTTAACAAAAAGGGGATCCTGTAGATCCCTTCGTAAAGGTCCGTCTTTATTGAACACCTTGTTAAGGCCTTCGTTACCAGGAGAAGCCCTTCAAGGATTTTTGTAGCGCTGAGGCAAGGGAAAAAGCCCCAAATACATCAAAATCAGGAACGTTTTGCCTGTTTCATATTCATAGTTTCTTCCTTATGTGTGACTGATTTATTCTGCTGTGAGCCCCCAGGGTGTGCATTGTCCAAAATAAAGGCTACCAAAAAAAAAAAGAGAGAGAGAGAGAACAGGGAGCAAGCAGGGTGGGGGGGAGTTTTAAGTGATATTTTTAAATGCTGCGATGTATTGCACACCTTGCATCTTTGGGCGTGCATTAACTTTATGCTGTTTCTTAACAAAAGCATACACACTAAAATAAATAACCTTAGCACAATGCAAGACACTGTATCTGAAAATAGCAAGCTGCTATGAGACAGTTGTTCCATGCTGTGCAGTACGATCACTCCCGCTTCTGTATTGTCTTAAGTTGTACTTAAGCTGCTGTAGCATGTGCTTGCATTACAAAGCACTGTGATTGTGCTATAGAAAATACAAATAAATGCATAGAAAGCAAACACCCATGATTATTTTAGGTTCTTGCTTTGCCTTAGAGAGTGGTTTGATTTTCAGTGACTTTTTCTTGCTCTGGCACGTATGGACGTAGAAAACGACAAGAGCACAAATTACTTTGACAACGTCAGCAAAGCCACCTCTACAGAGCGGGCTCTCTGTCGAGCACAACGCCCCGAATTACAGAAAGGCAGACTGCAGGGCAGAAACTTAAGAGCCGCTAAGTGCAAATGTGTTTCCTCCAGGGAAACAGCGACTTCAGAAAAGTGGCCGCGCACAAGGCTGCCTGCAAACTTTGTCCAGGTGTTGAGGGGCAGTTCGTTAAGGGTTGCAGGAAGGGGGATTTTGAGCGATGGGGACGCTATTGTTAAGCGCCCCGACAGACGAGAGCAGACCCTTCGCTTGCCACAATAGCCGCTCGCACCGAGCAAGACTCATTAAATATTCAGTTCCAGCCTCAAGCAGCTCATTAAGTCAGCAATGAGCAGTGACGCTGGTGTTGGAAAACCCTGCCTCGGTTAACATCACCATGCAGAGTCTCCCTGGATCTCTTGATGTTATTCTGCTCAGTACCTTTTCTGTGATGACCAGCTTGTGCTCTCTGCTTTGCATTAAATACAGGTAAAAAACAGTCAGGTGGATTTAAGTTCTCCTATTCTTTACAGGCCTTTGCAGGGATGAGTCCTGGGGCCCCAGCTAAGTGTCTGTGGCGTTTTCTATAGCAGCATATGTAATTCAAGTTTGCAGGAGGAGGATGGGAAGAGGGTTGTATAGCTTCAGTGTTAAAAAGAATAACATTTGTAGTGTTTGAAGGATAACTTTCAGATCAGAACAGTGTCGTGACATGGAGCGGTTACATATGCTGTATTGCTATCTGTCTACTGTTACACCGTTGAAAGTTTTGCAGAAGTATATGTACCCTGGAAACACAGTGTCTTTGGTGGATTTGGTTTGAAATACGTGCTGAATATGCTTCTTGTGTTCACAGTTTCTTTCTGAATGGTGTATTTGAAACCTGTTTTGCAACCGCTAACTTTTCTGAGAACAGGTTTGTATTCAATAATGCTTATCAATAATATACAGAATGGGAGCAGGGAGGCATTTAGGGTGAGTGGATGTCAGATGTCAGTGAATTAGAGTACACTGGAATCTGGAATTAGGATTGTCATTGTAGAAAAGCCGTGTGTGTTTTCACTAACTGATGTTTTAAAACTGTCACATCTGGAAGTGTGGAGCAGAAATGGAACAGAAATAGAAAAGCAGAACACGTGCAAAAGTTTGGGGTTGTTTCTCAGAGGCCAGTGTTTTATACCCTGCCCTTTTTTTTTCTTTAACAGAAAGTGTTTTCAGACTGCTCATTTCTATGTGGAAGACAGCAGCTCACCCCGCGTGGTCCCCAATGAAAGTATTCCCATTATACCTATTCCAGGTAAGACAGGCTTGCTCTCCTGTATTTGTGCTGTTTAGAAGCTGTTTTAATTACCTAAAGGGGAGAACGTTGTATTTGTGGTTAATCGTGATTTTTTCATAGACGTTTGTTATATCAGTGTTGCTTCATCTAAATTCATGTGCTTTGCAATGGGGCTCTGAGTACCAGTGCTGTGTTTTTCCATAGGCACTTCTTCCACGTTATTTCAATTAAAAATTTCAGAAAAACCTTTGTGAAATGTCAAGAACATGAGCGACACTCCTTAGAAATACTAACATATTGCATCCAAGGTGAAACCGATTGCAGTGTCAGGGTGGGTTGTGGACGAAGGGCCTCTCCTGAGACCAGTGGACTTGCCCCGCACTTTCGGCGTGTGCAGAGGTGGGAAAAGCAAAAGATATAAAGTCCAAAGCCATTTGTTAATTTGGCATTAATCTAGTTACCAAAGGTCAGATTCTTCCCTCAGCTATGTCGAGAGCAAAGCTAGAGCCAGAGTTTGGCACCGTATATTCTCTTCATAAGGCATTTCCCCTAGGAGTTCCCGAGTGTGGGATTCAGTTCCCCTTAAGCAATGATGACAGAAAACAGGTTGGTGTTACAGTGGCCCGTGCAGCCGCTGCCTTCTCCAATATTACTCAGTTTCACTGACAGAGTTAAGATATCCAAAATGTTGTGTCGACCTCAGTCTGTCGAACGATTGTACTTGTTGCTTCAAGGTGATGTTTTCAGTTTCCTTCTCATATTCTGTAATTTGTGCTGATAGTCTAGGATTCAATCTATTACTAATTTTAATAAAAACATTCAAAGACATCTCTGACAATGTAGGAGAAGAGACTCTGAAAAAACATATGTACTAGAAAAATGGAATAATCCAGTTACATTTTGCCTGACTTTATTCAGTAGAAATACGAGGCTTTCCTTCTAGAAAGAGTCTTTCAAAGTACCTGTGAGAATTAATATGAAAGGTTAGCTATTTCATTTGTATAGAAAATGTTAGGCGGTTTGCCTTGGGGTCTGATTCTGTACTTCTGAAAATAGAAGAAAATATAGCATTATCACCTGCCCTTTCTGCAGACTAAGGTGCGTGTCCTGGCCTCCTCACTGTCATTAGCAGGGAGCCCACCCTTCCTCTCATTGTGCTTTGACTAGCGTGAGATGGGATGTTTCAGTTTTAGACCACCTGCGATGAATTTTCACAAAAGAACCTAAATAGCTGGAGAACTCTAGTCTTCCTGCTCTAAATCCAGAAGGAGCGATTCCCTGTTGCTTTTGGCAATCACTGTAATGGTCCCTCGTGCCTGCTGTCATCATCACGTGTGATACCTTCTTGGAGCATGCCAGGAAGGGGAGGGTAGACTAAGTTGAGCTCTGTACAGAGCAGTGTATAAACCAGGGGGATTATGAGCACAAGGCAGTGGGGGAAGAGAAATGCTCTCATCAGAGAGAAGTCTTTTTGGCCAATGTAAAATATTTACTGTAATTGAGAAAAAAAATTCTTAGACAAAGAAACATGCAGAAAGGTCTATCTTTTGAGTTCTGCAGTCTGTTTAGTAGAGAGAGACAATGGTTCTTCCCTACTTCACAGAGGAGCATCAGTCCATTAAAGACTGGAAGGCACTCATGTAAATGGTAATACAGGCTAAAGAAATTCCATTAAAACAGTGCAGGTGGCAGGTAGCGTAAGGCCTGCACATCTGCTAATGCTCTTGCATGTAAGATCAAGCAGCCAAGAACTAAAGAAAACTGCCATTTGGGGACATCTTCCCGTACCTGCAGCAAGCCAAACTGTTGGACCGGGGCAGCTTCAGGATTGATGTGATGTCACCATCGCTGCAGTACAGTCTTTGGTCCGTTCACACTCCGTCCTCCTGAGAACGAGCTGCTCTCATCTGATAACGGGGACTGCAGAGTAAGGGACCTGCTGAGTAAGTGCTGCAGGACTCCTCGAGAAGTTGTCTCTGTAGTCGAAAATCTGCAATGACTGCTGATCAGCTCTAAGGCACATGAGGAGGAGGTGGGCCTTGGAGAGAGGCTTAGTCTAATCGGATGCAAAGGTGAATCCAGCCATCGGATTCCTGCTCTAATGACTAGATTTCTGAGGATTTAACAGATGTTTTGACACCTGCATACAGACTTCTGCATGGAGCTGAATCATGCCCAGAGGGTGTTAAGAGAGAATGAACGAGCTGATGAACTCAGAGATCTTTGCACTAACAACAAAGCTATTGAAGGCATCAAAAGTCAAATCACTCTCTGGAAGTGCCTCTCTTTCTGTATTTACTGTACAGGGAGTCTGTTTGGTCAGTATATAGGCACAAATTGAGTAGAGATAAATTCGAGCTATGTAGCCTTTTTCCAAAGATGTGATACACAGCACCGAAAGCTCTTGAAGCTCTCCTAAACATTTTCCCAGTCTGCAGATACAGAAGAGGCCTGTTTCCCCCAATGAACCTGCTACTAAATGACAGTCGTCAACGACATCAGCTGCTGCTCCTATGTAGGCAGCCCACTGAAATTCCTTAAAAACATTAAATGGCAAAATTCTCCCTTGAATTGATCCCCACTGATGGAATGATAAGCTTTTGAACGTTTCCTCTGGAAGCTGCCAGAGAGCGCAAGAAAAACTTACTTGCCATATTGATCTTAGAAGTAAAATATAAGTGACATTTTAAGAAAAGAAAGTTCTTCAAAGTAACCTTATTAGCTTGTGATTCCCTAGGCAATACCTTCTCAAAAATTATATTTAAATAGGTCCCTGTGGAACCGTGCATATATGTCCTAGCGTTCAGTGGACTGACTTCCACTCTCTGCTATGTGCAAGCAGCCACACTGATGGCCATTTAGAGCAGCGTACCTAAAAACGTTTAATAGATTTGCCAGGGCCCATCTACAGCATGCAGGGAGCTGTCGTTTGGAGAAAGCTGAACTAGGTTGGGGTTGGCTGGTTCTGGCCCAGGTGCAGGGTAGCTGTGCCAGGTCCGGGGGAGCCAGGTGCAGCGACGTCCTGACGCAGCTCGAGAGGCTGCCGAAGCTGCGCTGGCGTTGCTGCGTGCAGCCGCTTTGCTCTGTACACGTGCCGGCATGCTCTGAGGTGGCGTTTGTATATCTTTTTGCACCACGTTCTGCTCTTCTGTTTAGATGTACCCTCTGTTTCCTCAGCTCCAGGAACTCTAAAATTGATCTCCCAGCTACCTGCAGCAGCTATATAGTACAACTTAGCAGGTCCGCAATCTGAAAAATCAGCTTGTGAAGGAATGATTTTACCCATTTTCTATCTCACTTCCCTTGGCCTACGTGCTTAATTATTGTGCATGCAGCCACATCACCCATAGGCATGTGCTTATCTATGCAAATTTGCTCTGAGACCCAAATCATTATCATTATTCATAATTATCTGCTCTGCTTGATCTAGAGAAACACAGGACAAAGGAGATATCATTAACTGAGTCACCCACTGGATATTACAACTGAGGTATAAATCTTAACTCACATAAGCCTTATGCCTGACAGTAATGCATCTGTAATCAATGGCAGACTTCTGAAACTCCCCAGCCGTTCAGCTCAACAAAATTATCTCTCCGTATTCTCTGTCGTTGCCTCTACACTCAGTTAATTTTGGCCATATTCACATCGCTTTACATGGATCTCTTCGCTATAAACATTTAGGCTTGGCAACATCTCTCTCCTACTAACCAGCTCCTGTTCCCGTTCTTTTTTTTTTTTTTCCTAGCTGGGTCAGTATCTGGTTAAAGAGTTTCTGGGTTTGATTCTTCTTGGTAGATTCAAGTAAGAATAACAGCACAGTTGTGGGTGAAGACCTGTATATTCTGCAGCACTACAAAACAAAAAGCAGCCCCGTCAGTCTTCCTTTGCGCTTCTCATCACAAGACAAGCAATGCAGAAGCGCACCACTGTGTAATTTAGAAGATATCAAATACTGGGCTTAGCACAATTTCCACTTTTACTATCATTCGCTTCCTAGTCTTTGTTTCAGAGCTTTCCTGCTCACAGGTGGTAAACTGTTCTGGAGTTTGCTGTGGCTGTAATGGTTCCTTGCCCAGGCCCATGGGCACAACGGGTGTTTTGGCACTGATGTTAGCAGGACTGGTTGTTTGTGAGATCAGTACAGAGATACTTGCGGCTTGACCCTATGGCAAAACTCAAAATTGTGTGTAGTCTTGACCACAGTCCAGAGACACGTGGCTCATAAAGAGCAGAATGGCTGGCTGGCTGGTACAGCTGATTCTTTCAGCGTATTATTCCAGATATCTTTCACCGTTTTTAGTATAAGTAAAATATCTCAGATGTGATGCCAGTTATTTCAGCTACAAAACTCAGGAGCACTTCCCAGTTCTTGGATCAAGGGATATGCAGTTTCAGGTTTAAATGGTAGTAGATTCATTTTTTAACTAGTGCTGGAGTTTCTGAACGGTGTATTTTAAAATAACTAGTGATGGAATCTGTGGGAGAAACACCATCTTGCTTCTTTAGGAATGATTCAGTGTGGGTGCATGAGCCGAGAAAATTCTAGAGTAGCCAAGTGTGTTGCAGTGAGAAAGTGTCTTGACCACCTCATGTTACCATGCAAGGGTATGAAGGCCAGTGCAGCCGTGACTCTTCTTCATTTCCCTCTATCATCTCTTGGTTACAAGAAGCAGTCAGTCCCATAAAACATCCAGCTTATTAACTGTTAGTTTCTGTTAACTCTTCTGCAGACTTTTGAAACTGTGAGTGTCTTCCTTATTCCGTGGTTATATACAGTGGCTCCATGGTTACATACAATAACCCGGGCTCCCTTGAACCTTTCCTGATGAACGTACGGTAACAGTGGTTAGTGTTTTCTATAAGCATAGCTCCTTCATTGCTGATGTCGTCAGGCGGTGTCCACCATGTGATGGACTGTTTCATGTAAAAGATTGCAAAGGCAGGTGCCTTATTTGACAAGGAAATTGCAGGTCCTTACTGGAGGCTTGATATGCTTATTGTTTTCTGCTGGGATG